TATAGCAGATGCAGTTAGGTTAAAATGTAACGCTTTATCATTTGAGCTCCCTTTCGGTCCATTTTAAAGTTGTTTCAGTTTTTAATCTTTTCTTCTTTGTTTTCGGTTGAGGTTTTCCTCCGTTTTATTTTGTCATTTACTGTGTGTGTATGTGTGTTTTATATGGTTTTCTGTACATGAAATCCAGGATAGGTAGATGTATAGAGATAGTAACTGGATTAACAACTATCTAGGGGCCTGGCAGGGCTGGTTGGGAGGAAACGGGGGAGCTAGCAGCAATGAATTCTAGAAGCAAGGTTCTGAAATTTATTGTGGTAAGGATTGCACAACTCTTCTTAAGATGACTGAATTATTAAATTGTCTTCTATGTGAACTATGTGTTCATAAAAGTTAAAAGACAAACTTGCCTTACGCAGAGGACACTGCTTCCCGCGAGGAGGGCTTGAAGCACTTGCTGGTGAACATCAGCGCGCTGCAGCCTACAGCAAGTGAGGCACACAGTGACCTGTTTGTAAAGCACACACCCAGCAGGCATAATTGCCCCCTCTTAGTTTAACAACAACATTGCAATGATCGAACACTTGTTCTGTCAGGCATCTCCAGCTAGCGCTATGCATGTATGAGCGCTTTTATTTTTCTTTTGTTTCTTTTTTCGTTATTTAAAAAAAAAAAACCACGTTTAATAATGAATTCGGTGAGCTGTTACGGAGCACATTAGTTTTCTAGGCAACAGTTCATGTACATTTGGCTTCGCGTCTCGGATTGCAGCCCCCACCAGGCAGCATCAAGGCTCTAGCTTCCTCCCCCTGCCCCTTTCCACCCCTCTGCCTTTCCTAGCCCGCTCTGCCTTTTGAATGTTGTCTTTGGGCGAATGCGCCCCTTTGGCTATCAGATGGTTGTTTATTCTAAGGACCGCATACTTCCCTAGGGTTGTTGTTTCCTTTGTAGAGCTGTTGGTAGGCTGAAAATTTAGCCAAGGGCTAAATTCCGTTTCAGGCTCAAAGGATGACAAACAGCCATAGTCTCTGGACTCCAAACAAGCTCTTCACAATGAATAAGCCTGCTCTTCTTTTCCTTTTCTTCCTTCCCTCCTTCCTTGCTCCCTTCCCTCCCTCTCTCTCTTTCAATTTAGAGTAAGTTTATTGTATTACAAATAAATCCAAAATTGTGACTGTCAGAGGAGAACAGCCTCGGACAACCAAAGAGTCCGTGGGCGCAATTGTACGTTGGTAATATATAAAGATCATAGTAAAGTCATAGCAGATAGGAAAGGTAATAGCGAGAATGAAATAAAGGAGTCAGACACATTTTATGCTCACCTCAGCCCCTCTTGATGGCCCACGTGGAGGTGGGAGAAGAGAGAGGAAGGGAGCGTCTTAACTAACGGGATATTTACAGGTAGCAGTAAGGCATGCATATTCAGTAGTTACATACGTCACAAGGCGGGGGAAATCTACAGTAGGGTCCCTGAGCCCACAGGTGAGGGACCCTCCACCTGCATTGGGGGAAGGTATGAGGGGGCTGGGTGACCCCGCGGGAGGAGATAGCAGCAGGATGGCTACTTCTGTGGGGAGATAAAATCAACCATGTGTGCGCTTTCAGGCAGCATAGCTGTTAGGGGAGAATCTGTGGGAATGAGATTTAAAGCAGGATAATGTACTTGGACTTTATCTCTAACTTACCAACGTGGTGGCTTTCCTACCATGGAATACTGGCTTTCCAGATTCCCTCTGTTATAAGTTAGGGAATACAGTCCTCATCCTATTTCCCTCAGTGTTAGTTTCCCACATGTAATATCTCCAAACAATGGAGATTTCATCCTATCTTTATTTTACTTTTTAATAAGTTTTGACATAGGACAACTCATATATCATATAATTCAATTGTTTAAATATATTAAATTGTTGTGCAATCATCACCACAATCAATTTTAGAATGTTTTCTTCATTCTTGTACTTATTATTATTAGCTCACCATTTCCCACTAGCCTCCCCTGCGATATACCTAATAAATCAAGTTCCTCTCTGTAGATTACCCTGTCCTGGATTTCATATAAAGAATATCATCCCCCCCAAACCCAACAATGACAGCCAAATAAAACACAAAAAAGTTTAATCAAAAAAAAAAAAAAGTTTAATCCAGAAGAAAGCAGAAAATAATAAAAGCGGGAATAAACAATAAATGATTCAAAAGGAAAAACAAATGATAATATGTGAAATTTAACCTAACTACATCTGCAGTAAGGCACCTTGGTGGTGTAGTTGCTAACCACAGTCAGCAGTTTGAAACCATCCACTGCTCAGAGGGAGTGAGATGAAGCTTTCTCCTCCCTTACAGGCGTAGATTCACACTCTGGGAAACCCACAAGAAGAATTCTGCCCCGTCCCATCAGTGCATTGTGAGCTGGAATTGACTGGATAACAGGGAATGAGTGAGTGAGTGAGTGGTATCTGCAATGACCTTTCCAATACACTCTATCTGAGGGCAAGCCAATTACATCCCAGTCAATGATCTGAGGGACTTCGATGGAGGCTTAATCTTGGCAGCGATTCTGCAGATACACTTTGGGCGTTCACTGTCATCCACAGCTTTCTGCTATGGTCTTTTTAATGATTTTGACTTTGTGCCACATCCCACCCCCTTCCCCAGGACCTTCTAATGCGATTTTTTTCAGAGCAGTTGGGCGTGATAACTGGGCACCATCTAGATCAGCGGTTTTCAATGTGTGGGTCGTGACCCCTTTGGGGGAGATCGAACAACCCTTGCACAGGGGTCGCCTGATTCATAACAGTAGCAACATTACAGTGATGAAGTAGCAACGAAAATAATTTTATGGTTGGGGGTCACTACAATCCGAGGAACTGTATTCCAGGGTGGTGGCGTTAGGAAGGTTGGGAACCACTGCTCTAGGTCTTCCAGTCTCAGCGGCATGGAGGCTGAGGCTCATGTGGTCTGGGACTCATTGCCTCTGTACACCTTCAGCTTCTTCACTCCTCTTTCCTCCTGGTGGTGAGACATGAATAGTTGCACCCGCATTATCTTCTAATCCTCACCGTCACCCGGTGAAGGTCTCCCCTTTATAGCTTAAGAACCTGAGGCCCAGAGACATTATAGTACTGTCCTAGAGACTTGGAGCCCTGGTGACATGGTGGGTACCTGTTGGGCTGCTAACTGTAACGTCAGCAATTCGAAACCACCAGATGCTCTTCTGGAGAAGACCGGGCTGTCTACTCCGGTAAACAGTTAGTCTCAGAAAGAGTGACGTCTCAGTTACAGAGTGACTTTGAGTCGGCACTGGTTCAACAGCAGTGAATTTGAGTTTGGCAGTGAGTGACAAGGTATCAGAGAGTAGGCAGAACTCAGCCATACACCTAGGTTCTTATAACTGTTGCTCTAGGTACTGTCGAGCTAAATGTGGGCTCAGAGTGACCCCACGCGACACAGCAGAACTGCCCAGAGGGTTTTCTGGCTGTGACCCTTATAAGAGCTGGTCACTGGGCCTTCTCCTGCACAGCCCCTGGGTGGGTTTGAGCGGTCAGTCCTCGGGTGACAGCCAAACACTAAACTGTTGCACTGCTAGGGCTCCTTCCTTTAACTCAAGACCCTGACTTTGTAGGATTAGTGCCTTCAAGGTTAAATGGAGGAAGTTACCACAAGGCCCACCCCACTCCTCGGTGTTAACCCGAGAGAGGTGAAAACATGTCCACAGCACAGTCTGTACCTAGATGCTTACGGCTGTGTTATTCATAACAGCCACAATAATGGAAGCAATCTCCAATGCTCACCAATTGAGGGAGGGTTACATAAAACGAGATAGAACCATACAATGGAATATTCTTCAGCTATAAAAAGGAACGCTATACTACTGACCCACGCTACCATGTACCAGCTTTGGGCATAGTATGCAAAGTGAACAGAAGCAGACGTTAAAGGTCACATATTTATGGGACCGCACTAGCCAAACAGAGAGAGAAAGGAACTAGATTAGTGGTTGCCAGGGGTTGAGGAAGAGGGAAAAGGGAGGAGAGAAAAGACGAAATGGCAGGATTCTGTTGCCTGATTTCCACCCCAGGTTATGTGGTAGATCCAGGCCTGTCTGAAGTGTGGTCTTGGGCATTCTACATGCAAAAGGAGCCCACTGTCCTAATGTTGATTGGTTAGTTCTGGATAGGAGTTCTTCTTCTCCCAACCTCTTCCTTATGCCTTCTGAATCACCCTCAGTGTCTCACTCTCAGATTTGCACATCACTTTCATATCACCATCATCCTCCTTTACAGAGCAGTGACGTCACCAAGTGCCAGGGAGATTAGAAGCAGCCAGGTCTGTCTGATTCCAGAGTGCCTGCATGGGACGCCCTTCTCACAGCAAGCCCGCCACCGCTCCCCCGGCCTCCCTGCGTCTGGCCTAGTTCGGATGAAAATGGCGAGTTCCCCTGGCTCCTCACTGTCCGGCTGCTTCATCACCCTGGCCTGTCTGCAAATGCTGGTGCAAGGATCAGGTAAGGGCTTCTGAACCGAACGCGTTCTCTGTCTGAAGGGTCCCTGGTGGCAGAGTGAGAGCACACTGGGCAGCTAACGGCAAGGTCAGCTGTTTGAACCTCCTTGGAGTCTCTGAAACTCACAAAGGCAGTTCTACTCTGGCCTAGGGGGTCACCATGAGTCGGCATCGACTTGATGACAGAGTTCGGTTTTATGTTTGTCTTCTCTCCCCCCCACCCCCCACCCCCCAGTCTGAGACACCCTGAAGATCTGGCCTGTGGCCTTATTTCTTCTTGGCCTCTGTTCTTCCTGGCCCTTCCAAACCCTCCTGAACTCTGTTCTCTCCACGAAGCACTTCCTTCCTCATCCCTCTGCTCCTTCCCTCGCAAGTGCCATTTCCCACCCTTCCCAAGTGATGTTCTCTTTCTTCCACACCGCACAGGGGACGCCAGCAAGTTCCACCTTGCCCCCCTAGGGGGCACAGCCGAGCTGCTCTGCCCGCTCTCTCTCTGGCCAGCTCTGGAGCCCACTGAGGTGAGATGGCAGCGATCTCCACCCCCCCAGCTCTCCCAGGCTGTCCACGTCTTCCGGAATGGGAGAGACTGGGATGAAAGTCTACTGCCCGAATATAAGGGGAGGACCGAGCTGGTGAGAGATGCCCGCGAGGGAAGTATCACTTTGAAGATCCGAGACGTCCGGCTGGAAGACCGAGGCCAATACTACTGTCAGGTCCAGATCAGCAACCTGAGCCGAGAGGGCAGCGTGAGCCTGCAGGTGGCAGGTGAGGATGAGGTCAAGGGGTCGCAAGCCACGTGTGGCCATGGGATGAGCTTAGTCAGAACCTACCTTGTCTTTCCGTGTCTAGACTTTTCTTGCATCGGCCATGCACAGTTTCAACTTGCCCGGCTGGTACAGCCGGGGCCCTAGTCCCAGTGTTTCTGATGGGGCAGGAACCTGACTTTTGGAACACATGGGTAATCAAATACGACTAAATACCATTAGGGGCCTTGACAACATGGTGGCTCAGCCACTGGCTCTTCCATCTGCAGCTCTTCTACCTATGCCCGTTATCTGGGCGCTCACAATGGCTGTAAGAAAATGTCCCCCAGGCACCAGAATCCCCAGTTGCAATAAAAGTTACTTCTAATGAATGGGTCCTGTGCTGAATACTGAAGGGTCATGAAAGGAGAGAGAAGGATTTCTTAAACTACGTTCAATATTATTTTAAACTTTGGGCACCCCAAACTATGCATGTCTTTGTATGAGTGGATGGTTAGGTATTGGCCTGCTAACCACAGGGTCAGCTGTTTGAAACCCCACTGCTCTTCGGGAGAAAGAGGAGGCTTTCTCTTCCTGGTAGGAGCCCTGGTGGGGTAGTGGTTACTCACTGGGCGTCGATCCGCATGGTCGGCAGTTCGAAGCCACCAGCGCTCTGCAGGAGAAAGATGAGACCTTCTACTCCGATCCACAGTTACAGTCTCAGACCCCTAAGGGGTCTCTGAGTCACATGACTCGATAGCAGTAAGTTTGGTTCTTCCGTTTTCTACTCCTGTAAAAAGTCCCGCTCCTGGAAACCCATGAGGGTGGTTCTAGGTGTCCTATAGGGTTACTAGGAGCTGGAATCGAGCTGCAATGAGTTTGCAGTTGGGGGGATGAAGCCGCATTGGGAGGAGCACGTTGCAGGTTCATAATCTGTCTTTCCTGTTCACGCTTGGAAGCTGAGGGAGGGCTGTGGGGAGTGCCACCCCCCATTGACTAGACCCTGCCCGTCCGCTCCTGGACTGGTTCAGCAGGCTTTCTCTCCGCTTCAGTTCTAGGTTCTGACCCTTACATCCACGTGAAGGGCTACGATGCTGGGTGGATCCAGCTGGTGTGCAGGTCGGTGGGATGGTACCCAAAGCCTTGGGCTGAGTGGAGAGACCCTCAAGACAGAGTGCTTCCATCCCTGTCAGAGGCCCATACTCTGGAAGAAGCAGGACTCTTCCGAACAGCAGTGTCCAGCAGAGTCAGGGACAGCACTCTGGGGAATGTGTCCTGCGTCATCCACAGCGCAGCCCTGGGTCAAGGCAAGACAGCGGTCATGGTCATTGCAGGTAAAAGCTGAGCCGGAAATTAGGTTTGAAGCACCTGGTAGTTTCAGAAACACCACCTATTTTCTTTTTAATTTAATTTTATTGGGGGCTCTTA